GGCTGGCACTGAGGGTTGGCAGTGGTGACGCCGTGCTGAGGGGGCGCTATAGGGGGCGCTCTCCCTGGCAGTTGGCACTGAGGGTGCCGTGCTGCAGGGGGCGCTATAGGGGGCGCTCTCCCTGGCGGTTGGCACTGGGGGCGCCGTGCGGCAACTGCCAGGCTGTGCTGGGGTCTGCCCTGCAGCATCCAGGCCTGCCCAGACGTGAAGTACGGGAAGCGGATCCATGTGCTGCCCATTGATGACACCATCGTGGGCCTGACCGGGAACCTGTTTGACGTGTACCTGAAGCCCTACTTCCTGGAGGCCTATCGGCCTGTGCACAAAGGTGAGCTGGAGAGGGGGGGCTGAGACTGACCCCCCCCCTTCCTGGGCCACGGTGCAGGTTGGCACCTGGGGGGGCAGCACAGGGCTGGCTGCCTTGGAGGAGGAGGGAGCTGCCTGGAGCCCCTGCCCAGCAGAGGGGGGCTCCCCCCAGGTGTGGGCCCATCTCCCCCGTCCTGCCGGCTCTGTAATGATGCCCCCCCCCAGGCGACATCTTCCTGGTGCGCGGCGGGATGCGGGCCGTGGAGTTCAAGGTCGTGGAGGTGGATCCGAACCCCCACTGCATCGTGGCTCCCGACACCGTCATCCACTGCGAGGGCGAGCCCATCAAGAGGGAGGTGGGTGCAGTCCCCCCGTACCCGTCTGTGGGCGCCCAAGAGACTATTGGATCCTGGGATGGGGCAGGGCCCATGGTGCTGGATCCGGGAGTGGGGAGCAGAGGCCAAGGTGCTGGATCCAGGAGGGGGGGGCGAACCCCCACTGCATCGTGGCTCCCGACACCGTCATCCACTGCGAGGGCGAGCCCATCAAGAGGGAGGTGGGTGCAGTCCCCCCGTACCCGTCTGTGGGCGCCCAAGAGACTATTGGATCCTGGGATGGGGCAGGGCCCATGGTGCTGGATCCGGGAGTGGGGAGCAGAGGCCAAGGTGCTGGATCCAGGAGGGGGGGGCAGGGCCCAAGGTGCTGGATCC